TCGTGTAATATTTTAACAATTTTTTCAATGGGCATCATAAAACGTAACACATCATAAATAGAAATGGGGCAGTGGCGTAGCCTTAATTAAACTATTCTAAAAATTGTTGTTTGTATTCTATTCTGGAAATATAATTAAAAAAAGAGAAATATTTAAAAATATTTGAAATACGTTATCTATTTAATAACTATAAAAAATATAGTTTTTATTGAAAGAATTCCTTATTGTCAATAGTAAAGTAAAATAGTATGTAGAAGTTTAATACATATATATTATAGTGTAAATTAACTCAAAAAAAAAAAAAAAGTCTATTGTATAGTCTATAGTAGTATAAATATTTATTATGTGTATTTTTTTTTCAATTGTATTGTCTAACAAAGTAACACCTTATTCCGGTTTTTTCATTACTTGTAAAAATTGTAACTACTTAAAGTATAATGAAATTTGACTAAAAATTTATTTTGACAGACAGACCCTTTGACTGGATTTGGGATGTTATAAAAAAACCCAGCATCCTTTTCCGTCCAATTTGTTATCCCTTTGCCCCTTTTATGTTCAAGCCAACTGTTTGGCACTTCATCAAAAACAATAAAAATTTTCATTTTTATTTTTTTTTCTTCCATCAATCTTTCGTTCGCTTTTTTTTTTACTTATTTTATAAACCCCTGTGTTCTCTATTAGTTTGTGACTCAGGAAAATCATAAAATTTTCGTCTAAAAGAAGTTATTCGAGAACGTGAAAAGACCTTGAAAAGGTATTTACCGTTTACATACTAATTTAATTAGTTTTTTTTTTTTGTTTGTTGTTTTTTTTATTTTCTTCGTCATTTTTTTTCAAAGTGTTATTCATGTGTATTTATCGTACTTTCGAGGTATTATCTTTAAAAGGGATGAACTTAGTTATAGAAATTGAAAGTCGTGCTCATAAAAACTAATTCGGTAGAATTTCAGAAATAATTCAATTTTTTTTTTTGATGTGCAATTTGCATCATCTTTACTCAATTTTAATACTTTCTTACTCCTCCTCGTTATTTTATTTTCCCTTAATTTTCTTTTTATTTACATATTTAAAACAAAAAAAAAAAAAAAATTTTAATAATTTACACAAAAAATAGAACGCATACAAACTACGCAACTTTATCGTAATTATACCAAAAAAAGACTTTCCTCTTTTGTATTGAATGCACGCCACAGATATGAGTGCAATCGCCGGAAATTCACCAACCAGTCAACGAAAACAAAGTAACGCTTCTGGTAGTGGAGATTTATCAGAACAATCGACCCCTAGAGGAACTAAACGTGAAAATGAAGACGATGATGATGATTCTGGGGATGAAGAAGTTGGAAGCAAAAATGAAAAACGTGCTGGTCGTCGTAAGATAAAAATCGAATATATTGATGATAAAAGTAGGAGACACATAACTTTCAGTAAGCGAAAGGCCGGTATAATGAAGAAGGTAAATATAAATAAATAAATAAATAAATATATATATATATTTTCTTTTTCCTTTTTTATTTACATATATATACATGTATATATATGTATTTTTTCCAGAAAAAAAAAAAAAAATTTAAAGATATTGCCATTTTGGTCTGATATATTAAATTTTTCCGTATTTGTTCTATGGTTTATAAACAAATGAAAATCATATCTTTTTCGAAAATTTAATTATTATTTATTATTATATAATGAAATATTTATATAAATTATTATTTACTAATGTTCTTTTTCTAATTTCTAACTTATTCAGGCATACGAACTTAGTACTCTTACGGGAACTCAGGTATTGCTTCTTGTAGTATCAGAAACTGGACTCGTATATACGTTTACCACACCGAAACTTCAACCCCTCGTAACAAAACCTGAAGGAAAAAATTTGATTCAAGCTTGTTTGAATGCACCGGATACTCCTTCAGCTCAAGATACAACATCCACGGTAAATATTAAAATTTCACTTTTTTACGTATAAATTTACACACTCCTTTTTTTGTTTAACTAAAAATTTATTTTTTGTATGACGAAATTTTTACTTATTTAGACGCGATCTTCAAATAATAACCAATCATATGGAAATGAAAGTTCTACTCCAGTAGAAGGAACTAATAGTGATGTTTATGATAATGACCGCAAGGTATATAATTATCATTTCAATATGTTTAATTATTTATGTAAAATCTTTTTTAACTTATTGGTATTTATTTTTAGCCTCAAGCAAGTGGTGGTAATCAAATGGCACAACAGCAATCATATGCAGCACTTGGATTAAATCCATATAGTCAATATGGTGGAATGCCTAATGGTATGACTTTAGGCGGTGCTGGTGGTATTGCAGGTCCTCCATATATGTCAGGTACAGGATATTCGCAGTACGGTCAAAATCACATGAATCAATATGCAGCCAATAACGCTTATATGCCCGCAAATTATTGGCAAACCGCTGCCGGTAATACAACTAATACGAATGGTACTGGCAAAGTACCGCAATATCCAAATCAAATTAATCAATCACCTGAAAAAAAGTAAACTAGAAAAAAATTTTTTTTTTATGTATTTTTTTTCATATATAAATATAAATATTATATAGGATTTTGTATAGGTATTTTTTTTTTCTTTTGTTTTGAATCAATTCGGCTTGCTTTATATATATATATATAACCTTTTTTACTACATGAACAAAAAAAAAACATATACATGTATATATTTTCTTTTTATGTTTTTCATTTGATATGATAATAATTATGTAAGAAGAAAAGTAATTAGTTCATGTTATGTTTTTTCCCCCAATAACTTTGCCGATGTAACATTTTCTCTTTTTATATATCTTTTTTTTTTCTTTTCCTATAAAATGAAGACATTGCTATTAAAAAAAATTATTTTTTTTTATATATAAAAGATAGCACTTTTTTCTTTGATAGGTTGTTAATATATTTTTTTTCTTTTCTTTTTCATCCATCATTTATTTTTTAAAAAAAAAATTATTTTTGTATTTTTCTATTTTTTTTAAAAAAAAAACAAAACTCTTGCAGAGGGTAATTCAAAAAAAGTTTTTTATTAAGCCGAAGTTGATTGTGTTATATGTAAGAGAGAGAGAGAGAAAAAAAAAAATCCTTGTTTGGAGATAAGTAGAAAAAGAAAGTAGAGGTAGTTTGAAGAAGGATTTTTTTTTAGTTTTGAAAGTATATTTTTTTAAATATTTTTTTTTTTATTTTTATTCTATATTATTTTTATTTTATTTTATTTTATTTTACTTTTTTTTTAGGATTTTTTTTATTTTTCTAGTTGGTCATTTATTTTAGTTTATTCTTTTTTTTTTA